CCGGCGGCCCGGGCGCCGCCTTCTCCATCGACGCGCTGATCGGGCCGCCGCCGCCGCGCGCCGGCCACCTGCTCTACACCGGGTACCCCATGTTCGTGCCCTACCGGCCGCTCGTGCTGCCGCAGGCGCTCGCCCCCACGCCGCTGCCCGCCGGCCTCCCGCCGCTCACGCCGCTCGCCTCCTTTGCCGGCCGCCTCTCCAACTCCTTCTGCGCGGGGCTGGGCCAGGCCGTGCCCTCCATGGTGGCGCTGACCACCGCGCTGCCCAGCTTCGCCGAGCCGCCCGACGCCGCCTTCTACGGGCCCCCCGAGCTCGCCAACGCCGCCGCGCGCAACCTCCCCGAGCCGGGCGCCCGCCGCACCGAGGGCGCCCTGGACGCCGAGGAGCTGCTGCCGGCGCGGGACAAAGTGGCCGAGCCGCCGCCGCCCCCGCCCGCGCACTTCGCAGAGACTTTCCCGAGTCTGCCGGGTAAGTGGCGGGCGCGGGGCGCGCTCGACGGAGTCACCCGCAGCGGGTCCGGGATCCGCGGAGCTTGCGGGCACCGACTCCAACCCAGTTCCCAACGCGGCGTTGCCGAGCCCACAGCCCACACTCCTCCGTCCCCAGAGCGCCGAAACCTCGCCAGAGACTTCCCAGCCTCTTCCAAGCCCGAGCCTCCCCAGAGCCGTCGCCCTCCAGCCTCGCCCAACGCCTCAGAATCCCTGCGGTTTTCTGTGTGCCAGGGTGGGTTGGCGGGGGCACCGAGGGCCCCAGGGAGAGGCACGTGGGGACAGCTGTCAGTCCGGCAAGGAGGGCCCGTCTGGCCCTGAGAAGATTGCATTGACCTGCTGAGCTCAGGTAGCCGCGCACAGGCAAAGGAAGGCTCTAAAGGTGCCTGTAGCTTCACCTTGGCAGCAGAGGTTACTTCTGAATGGGCAGCTTCGGAGCTAAGCCTTGAAGACCGGGTAGTGGCGCTCACCGCGGGGAACCAGGGCTGCAGGGAGGCCCAGAGGCCTTAGGCCGGGCTGAGTTGGGTGTGGCCCTAAAAACCCCAGTTGAGAATCTGGTGTCGATTCAGCTAGGAGATCACTCTGGGGCCCTGGGAAGGACGTCCTTTCCACAGAGGCCGGGTGAGCTGAAGGAAGCCTGTTTGGAATCAGTGCACTTAGAGCCCCCCTGCCCTCCCTATTGCTACTTAGCCCTTAGAAGCCAGAAAAGCTTTCTCCTGTCCAGGCAGATGCAGGTTTCTGAAATCCATAATTCAGACAATTTAAGAAAAATAAGCCCACATGCAAGTGTGGGGCTATGAAGCATCAACTTTCCTAGCATCAGGATGAATGTCCCCTGCTCGGCCATTCACCTCGTCCAGCTTAGCAGTGGAAATGACCCCAGAAGGCTTGGGCTGACTCCAGCGGAGGTGAGAAGGGGATCCCAGGGTCCTTGGCTGAAGAGGTCGTTCCCATTGACAGGTTCCTGGCCCTCCTCAAAATTGTGCCAGACCCCCAGGACTGCCACAGAGCAGGTCTCCCTCTTATCCCCCTTGGTTGTGGGCATTTGGGCTCTGGGGATTCAGCTGTTGTTTTCTTTTTGATTTGTACCTGAGTGCGCTGGGAGGCTCCCATGGCTGAAGTCAGAGCAGCTTGCCTAAGGAGGATCCTAGGGAAAACAGGAGCACCCAGAGATGGGAGGAAAAATGTCCACATGGGAGGGGATTGGGGTGGGGCAGAGAAGCCAGCAGGGTGGTCTTGAGGAGGATTTGTGGGGTTTTCTGAATAGGATAGGACAAAGGAAGGCAGAGGACTCCATCAAAGAGACAGTGAGGACGCTGTAGGGTCTGTGAGCAGAGTGGACACACCTAGAGAGGGAGAGCTGGGGAGAGGCAGAGAGGTCCCTAGGCAGAGAATGGGTGGGGGATGCTCAGACCACAGGAGAACAGCAGCTGTCTACACCTTGCGGTCTCCCCAGTTCTCATTTGGACCCATATGTATAATGGGGTTCTTTCCTGAGGCAGATGGAATATTGGCTATGAAATCAGATATTGATGGGGAGGAGTAAGCAGGGGAAAAGAACAGAAGAGAAGTATGGCGACTAGAAGAATAGAGGCAAGGAACAAGGAATGAACTTAGCACCTGTGTCAGGAGCAGGACTCTAGACTGGGTGAAAGGAAAAGGGAGCAATTTCACTGGACCAGAAGTTCTGTCCGGGGAGGCCTGGGAGAGGGCTAAACAAGAACACCAGGGTGTGGGAGAAAGTTTCACACTCGGAATGGTTTTCTTTAAAGGGTTTTCAGAATTGGGAGTGACGGGGAACTGGGATGTACATGGATGATGGAGGAAAGTCTTCATTAGCCGAGGAGACTGTTGGGAGCCAAAGCAGAGAATTGAGTTGTTCTTGAAAGTAGGCAAGAGCTTCGTCGCTGAGCATGCTGGGAGGGAGACCTTGCAGGGGAAGGCTTTGAGAGTGACATGGTGAAGGTCATCCCTTAACCCTGGGGAGACACAGAACAGGTCCCGGTGGGCAGAGCAGTCTGGAAAGCAGGCTCCAGAAGGGACATCCAGAGGGTGCAGGGCTGGGGTTGCCTGAGCCTGGTGACTGGACTGTCTACCCCTCCCGAAGCAATCCTAGCCCTCTCTCCACGGCCACTCTCACCCACCTTTCCAATTGTGGGTGTTCCCTGAGATGGCTGCAAAAAGAAAATATGGTTCCAAAATGTTAGGCATCTGATCCATTTGGGGAGTGAGAGTGCACTGCCTGTGTAGGAATGGTGGGAAATTAAACGCACCACTTTGGGATCATCTGGGAGTATTTGGGATGAAGTAGGGGAGTTCTCTGTGGGGAATAATAGGATTAGGCCCTTCACATCAGAAGGGTCTGGGGAAGAATGCAGGATTTAAGGTGACAAAGGAAGAATTGCTCTCCTATTGGGGTTGGACACACAGAACTGAAGTTATTAATTTACAATTGTTTAATGGCTTACAATTACCAGCCCATTTAAGTGAACTTACAGTGAAAATAGACCCATTTTTTTTTTTTTGGTACCAGAGGTCGAACTCGGGACCTTGCACTTGCAAGGCAGGCGGCAGAACCACTGAGCTAAATCCCTGGCCCAAGATAGACCCATTTGAGGGGTGAATAATGAAGTTCTTTTTTGGGGGGGATACTGGGGATCAAACTCACGACCTTGTGCTTATAAAGCAGGTGCAGTGCCACAGAGCTAAATCCCTGGCCCCATGATGTTCTTTCTCTTTCTTTCTTTTTATTTTTTGGTACTGGGGATCGAACTCGGGACCTTCCATTTGTGTGGCAGAACTACTGAGCTAAATCCCCAGCCCTCTTTTTTTTTTTTTTTTTTTTAAATTACAGGGACTTTTTCTTTCAATTGACCGAGAGTTGAGACAGATACCACTTTCTTACTCCAATTGATGAAGAATAAACAGAACTTCATTATGATCTGATTATAGGAGTAGAAGCTGTGTCAACAGATGATTAGAATTACTGTGCATAGAAAGAATGGGGTAGAGAGCTGTTGAGTATGGGAAATTGAAAAGAACCCTAGGTTTGGAGCATAGTGAGCTATGGTGTTAACTGGGGCAGGTCTTTTAGTAGAAGTGATAAGGAAGAGAGAATTCTGAACTGGTTGGGAAGATTAAAGTATGAATCAAGAAGGCTGGGGTATAGTGCAGTGGTATAATGCTTGCCTCGAATGTGTGAGGCCCTGGATTCCATCCCCAGACCTGCAAAAAAAAAAAAAAAACCAGTATGAATTAATGGCAGAGCCTAGAAGAGTGCAGGCTAGTAGAAGTATAATACAAGCCATACACGTAATTTTAAAAGTTTTTACTAGCCACATTTAAAAGGGAAAAGAAACAGGTCAAATTGATTTTAAGAGTACATTTTATTTTAATCCAATATGTTCAAAATATTTTCATTTTACCACTAATTTATATAAATATTGTATTTTTTTGGTACCGGGGATCAAACTTGGGACCTTGCACTTGCAAGATAGGCGGTGGAACCACTGAGCTAAATCCCCGGCCCTTATATAAATATTTTAATGAGATATTTGTTTGTTTCTTTGGGATGTTGGTGTTTTTTTCCTTTGGTCCTGGGGATCGAACTCGGGACCTTGCGCTCTTTGGGTTTTTTTGAGACAGGATCTCACTATGTAGTTTAGGCTGCTTTTGAACTCACAATGACCCTCCTGAGTGCTGGGATTACAGGCATGTGCCACCACGCCCGGCTTGTTATGTATTTTTCCTGTCCTCTTTTTGTACTAAGTCTTCCAAATGCAGTGTGTACTTTTGCACTCCCAACCCATCTCAGTTTAGTGTGGCCATGTTTCAGGAGGCTGGGAGCCTCCTGTGACTAGTGGTGACTGAATTCAACACAACACGTCCAGAGAGCTGTAAGGACAGAATCAGGTGAAAATAACAGGGGTAGGAGCTTCAGATTGGGATGCAGAGTGAGCCCTCGAATAATCATCGGGAATAATGGAGAGAAGAGAGTAGTAAGCTCCCCACAATAGGAAAGCACAGAATTTCCCCCCAGTAGGGCAGGTAGAGATGATCAGGGCATCTGCAGGTGCATGCAAGCCCTGGCTGAGTGGTATTGAAGCTGAATTGTGGTGAGCAAAATGCTGTGCAGATCTGCGTCACGGAGACACAGCACGAAGAGGATGCTGACTGCCGTGGGGAAATGCAGAAGGAAACTTGAGATCAGGAGTGTACAAGCAGTGTTCATCCGTGGAGGAAAAGGTTGGGCTGCTGAGCGCCAAAGGGGAAGGACGGAGGGTCGGAGGTTAGAGGGAGGCTAAAAAGAGGGAGGGATTGATGTAAGAGACAACGGCAACATTATTCAGGGGGAAGAGATAAATATATTTGTAGTCAGGGTGTTGTAGGAGGTAAGAGAATGTGATGGGACAAACAGAGGCGACAGTGCAGTGAACATTATTTTTTCAACCTGAACAGATAAAGATCCCAACTTTCTGAATCAGAGAGCAATAATAATGGTAATCACACAGGAGCCCAGGGAAACTGATATTAAGGGCTGATTGCTGCCAGCTAAGCCTCTGATTGTAGCTAGGGAACATTTTGGGTGACCACTAATTAATTTCTGAATAGGTAGCCACTGTGACTGAAGATACAGTGCTTCCTAAAGAGGCAAAACCAGGAAATGATCGAGCATTGTGGAACCAGAGACATCAGTTGTTAGAAACAAGAGGGAGGGTTTTCAGGGGTGGTGGAGACCCAGAGTATGTTTTCCTAGAACTTTGGGGGCAGAGCTGGCCCCAAAGTGAGTGTGTGGCACATGGACATTTAGAAAGAGGCAAACACTGCATTAACTTAGTGTGTTTCAGGGAGCATTTATTTAGGGCTTGGGATGCACAGGTTCGAGTCTCAGGTTTGTACCCAACGGCTTCGCAACTCTGGCAAGTCACCTATTTCCAGCAGGGGACATGTTATTGTGTGTCTATTATGGGCTGAGTGTGT